ATTCAGTGGGGACACTTGGTTAAGGGAGAGAGAGGTAATAACGTATTTAACAATTATTTTAAAGACTGAATATCGGAATCTCATTTTAAAAATACCTATCACTGGGTACAAATATGCTCAATATGCATTTGGCTTTGAAATATCTTTTAACTTAGCAGTTGTACTTTTAGGAATTTACCTTACAGAATATTGGCACAAGTGCTGGAGAATGTTTGTAGTGGCTAAAATCAGAAACAACCAATCGCTCATAAATAGATAATTTGTTAAACCAATGAGGTCAGTCCATACGAAGGGACACTAGGCAGCGTGAAGGAGAGGACTCTGTGCAGGGAGTTATTCTCACGTGGCATTCGTCTCACAAAAGGCAGTTCAATTATGGTAGGATGCGCCCATTTGTGTAAATCAAACAAACACGATACATACACACAAAAAGAAAAGACTAGGAGGATTTAGTAGATGTACTGAACAGTGATGGCCTCTGAGGAGGGAGACAGTCTGGGGTAAACATTCAGTTTTCATTTTATTCTTTTTTATATACCTTAAATGCTTTACAACCAAAACTTTTATATTTTACATACAAATATGTATGTATAAAAGTATATACATAAAAGTAATCTTAAAATTTTAAAGTATGTTTTTTAAGAAAACAAAACAACAAAAGGAAATGCATTTGATCCTCTGCTTGAACTTGTCCGACAAGCCCTCCTGATAAGACATGTGGCCCATGGAAGGCCTGGGTACCATGAAGAATGGCCAAGGTCAGTCACAGCTTCCTGTCCTGAGCCCACTCACCAGCTCCATACTGCTCTCATTTCCTTCTGAAGGGGGGAGCATGGAACCTCCCAGTTCCCCACTACTGAAGGAAGCTAACCTTTTCCCTAAGCTTGCTGCGAAGATGACTCACACCTTCTCCCCTAAAGCCAGGTGGAAGATGGTTAACTTAGTTTTCGGTAATTTAGCCATTTAGGAAAGGGGATCTCGGGCTCACATCTCTTTCAGCCAACTGCAGGCCAAGGATGAACTGCAGGCCAAGGATGAATGTGTCAAAGGGAAACCAAAGACAAGCAATTCCGGTCTCCAGCTGGCAAAGAGCTTAACTTCTAGGCAAGCTGAGAGTCAATGGGATACATTTTTACAAAATCAGACAACAATTTTAATGGAAGGGTAAAAGATGGTCTGAATCTGGCTTCCCAACATGTTGCTGTCTTTTGACATCAAATGTAGAGGACTGAGTTAATCATCTGCCTCTATTCCAGGCACTGACTTACCCCCTATAATTAAAGGGGCAGATGTGCCAGCTTGGGGTATTCAAAGAGAGCCTGTGGTACCTGTGGAGGCCATCTGGCTCTGGTGGAGGAAGAAGGGTCCATGCCTAGACACAGGAGACTGTGTGTGACATAGGGCACAAGCAGAGGTCAGCCTCTGTCACTATGAGATATTCCATGGGCCCTCAGGGAGCAAAAAGGAAGGGGCAGGGGCTCCAGAAATAGTGGCGGATGCTGGGTCAACTTTGCCCATAGCCAAAGAAGCAACTGCCTACAAGGTGTATTTGAGAGTTATTAGGGAAGACATCAAGCCTCAACATCTCTATCATTTTGTCAGAATTGCTGAAATTCAGCCCTTAGAGATTCATTCTTTTCTATTGGAATTTATGCATGTTAAATTGTAAATGACTTCTCCCAGCTTTCCAATCCAGAAGACAGGGATCTAAGAACTAATAACATCTGACTATCAGGAGTCAAGTAGAAAGACCCCAGAGCTCAGAGGCTCAGCACTGAAGAAAGGTAGATCTACTTGGGTTCCAGGCAAACAGAAAGGTGCTGAAGCTTTTCAGTTTTGGCTAAAGTGGCGCACTGCATACAGTTGTATTAGACCAGATGGATCTAACTGCAGGAGCCTTGTAATTACGTGTTTAGAATTTCTGCTCAGAATACTTTACACACACAGAAGCTTCACATATGGGTGTTCGTTATTAGCCCCGTATCTGTATCTGTCCAAGATGGCTTTAGATCTTGATGTTGAAGGCCAGTTGATTTCATTAGGAGTAATAAGTTTTCTAATTTAAAATTCTATGGGGTCCTCGCTTTTGGAATCTGAGGTTCCTCTTCCTTGCTGTAATGAGCCCTCTAGGTGGCTGTTAAAGCAGCTACTCTCAACCTTGGCTGCACTTTAAATCACCCAGGACCTTTAAAAAACACTGATATCCCGGGCCCAAAGATTTTGATTTAAGTAATCAGTGTAGGGTGGGTCCCAGCCATCAGTTGTTTTAAAAACTGCCCCCTCAGGGCATTTAAATGTGTTTTCTAATGTGTACCCCTACTTTAAAAATGTGAAGAAATGTGATGGGGTGGGGGAGGAGTAGAAGCTCAGACCTATTTAATTTTAAGACGTCTGTATTTGGCAGAAATTGGCTTAAGCTTTAGAGGGCACATTAGGAGTGCACTGACACAGATTCTGCAGATTCTGTCCCCTCTGCAGAAGCCAAAGGGCAGGGCAGGGCCAGGAGTCTGCAGAGCCTCCCAGCTAGCACTCCCTTTTCACAGGCAGCATTCCTTGTGTTGCAGCAAACAAAATTCCCACCCTGCCTGGACTCACTTGGCGTGGATCTCTGGTCTCCCGAGAACCCCCCTTCCCCATCCCTGAGAAGCAGGCCTACCACGAGGTCTGAGGGCAGGAGGAGCTGGCCCACTCAAGGACATGGACTCGCCCATCTGACCAGAATCTTCAAATGCTCCATGACTGTTCCTCTGGTCAGGATTTCTGCTTGCTGACCTTCCCATCGCACTCTGCTGTCCCTGGCCCCTTTTCCAGACTAGCGTCCCAACCCACCTGCCTATTAGCCACACTGTGACAGGCCTGCTTCCCTCTTCAAGGTGGAAGCATCTCTCTATATTCATTAAAACAGGTGTCCCCTCTTTCTACCCTGGAGAGACCATGGGCTCCTCGCTGTAAGAGTCCCTGGCCCTAGCTGCCGGGACCATGATTACCCAAAAGCCTGAGCTGACACTCAGCCACCCCCCAGAGATGCAGCGCATTCCCAAGTCATAACATAACAGAAAATGGTATAGGAAGAGAGTCATTTTGAATTTTATCTTCTTGTCTTTTGTAACACCAACAGTGAAGATTTTTTTCTATGTCACCTTTAGTCCTTACACAAAGTTCCACTCGACAAAGTCCCAGTTGGGTTCAGTTCCAGGAAAAAAACTTGTTCTGAAAATTAATTCGCATGCTTTCTGTTGTCCAAAAACCAAAACTATGCAATCCAGTGTATCTTTGTCTCTAAACTGCCAGAATATTTAGAGCCAAATTCATTGTCCAAGTGTTGTAATCTGCTAAATTCAGGCCACTCAAAACATCCATTCCTTTTGCTTTGTTTTCTCCTGAGCTTTTCTGCACTTAGTTTTATTCTCTCTCTCCTGTGCCCAAGCCTGTCGATAGGCCCTACCTCCTTATCTCTTGGACCTTTGCTTCCCACCTCAGCACCGCCATCATCAGTAGTTCTGGCCTGGGTGCTGCAAGGTCTTGGTCTCATTGTCCAGGCCTCCACCGGACAGCCAGGCCGAGCTCTGTAAGATACCGAGCAGTTCCCACCACTCCTCCTTCAGCGAGGGCCTCCTTCCCTGAGGGGGTACACTGCAGCCATGAATTCTCCCCATCGACGCCTGTCCTCCTCCCTCCCTCTTGGTTGACTTGGAGCCTGCAACAACCTTCTTTGCTTTGTTTTCCTGGAGAAGAGGTTTTCAGGGCCCAGCCCCTGCCTTGCCTGCTCTGTGGGCCTCCCCTGAACTGGGTGGCCTTGCTCTGGGTTTCCCTAGTCATGCAGCACCTAGGGCCAGGCAGGCCAGGGCTGGTTTAAATTTTTTGTTTGACTATCCAAGTAGGATGGTGAGTTCCTAGAAGAAAGGTAGAGACCTTATTCGTTACTGTGTCCCTAACACCTAGCACGACACAGGCAGGCTTCAGATCTTTCAGAATAAAAGGGTTGAAAGTCAGCCTCTCTGCCAGTCTTTTGCCTACCGTTCCCCCTGCACAGCCGCTGTTTGCCCTTGACTTCTCACAGAGTTCTGTCCTATCTAAGCGGCCCACCCCAAAGGCTTTCAACTCCACATTGGTGTGTTTGTTACTTGCTGACACAAGCCGAATGAAAAGATCTTGTTCTTTTCTTTTATGTAACAACCACTGAAGGTGTGAGAGTTTAGTAACAAAACTACTGCCGATTACAACCCTACTGCCAGGCCATTGGTGCCGGTGTCATTTAGGGCACTGGAGAAGCCATCCTGAAGCATGTTTCAACAGCCACCAGAAGTAGAGTGGGCTTGCTCCTTCCCCAGCGCCAGCGGGTTAAAGTAGTGTGGGCCTTTCCCTTGCACCCAGCCCATGCCCCAGAGTGCACTGCCCAGCGAACCCCCCGGGTCTCCTAGGCGGTTTGAATCCAGTTTTCTGCGGCTCTCCTAACTAGCATTATATCCTGTGTTAGAGGACTCCCCTGGGATCCGTCTGTTCCCAGCTTCATCCTTCGGGGGTAAGTGGAAGAAATAAGAATAGCCTTACCTTCCTGCTTTCCCAAGACTACAAATTCTGACCACAGTGACGCCGGCTGGCTGCTAACCCCCTCTGGGTTCTTTCCCTGCACGCGCACGCGCGTCCCTCTCTCACGCCCCCTGGGACCCAGCAGGGCGCAGGGCGGGGGTCGGCCCAGTTTTTGGTTTCCGAGGCGTGGGACGATGGCGTCCCGGCTCGGCCATGGAAGTCATCCGAGCCTCCGGGAGGTCGCCTGGACAGCACTCCGCTGAAGTCTCGCAGGTCGGGCTGAAGTGCCTGGGTCTCCACGTCCGCACACAGGAAACCCAGACGGGTCTGCAAAGAGCCACTTCCCAGCTCCGGGTTGGGGCAGTTCCAGCCGTCTCCTCCCTGTTCCCCAGCGCGTCCCCTCCTCTGTCCCCCCGTATGTCCCCTCCGCGGTGCGCGCGCGCGTTTGCTCCCCGGTCCCCTGGCCCTACCTCTCGGGCCGCGGCTCCGCGGGCTCCCAGGTGCAGCTCGGGGACGCCCGGGCGAGCGGGGGCGGCGGGCGGCTGGGGCCGGGGGCGCCATGGCCCGCAGCCCCCCGCTCTGGGCTGGGCCGGGCCTCCGCGCTCGCGTCCCGCCGCCCGGCCGCCGCTGCGAGCGAGTGCAGGCTGCTGGGCGGGCGCCGCCGCCCCCCACCGCCGCCCCGCCCGGCCCGCGCGGTGAGCTCATCCGCAGCTGGCGGGCGCCCGGCTCGTCGCCAAGGCAACGCCTCCCAGGGCCGCGCGGACCCGGGCAGCTCCCGTAAACAGGACCTTCTGCCGGACTCTACCCGCGCCTTTTTGGGGGTGGGGAGAGGGTGGCTTAACCCTTCCTGCGCCGGGGACCACCGAGTAGCATTCCCCGTGTCCCCGGAGCCGGGCATTTATTGGTGCGGGGGCTCAGCCAGGGCGGAGATCTTAGCTGGATGCTCGCAAGTGGCTGCGACTCCCCCTGCCCCGCGCTGACTCCAGTTGTCTTTCACGGGGCACCCCTGGGTGAGGCGCGGGGCTGGGGGCTGGAACTTCCCGGGCAATGAGTCACCACCACCCTTGCCCCCTGCTTTTGCAGTCTGGCTGGGTGTGTCACAGGCACTGAAGCCCAGGGGCCCTGAATGTCGGGCACAGGGGCCTCCAAACCAGGCGGGGACAGACTAGGAAAAGCTTCCCGGAGGGAAATGATTTTACAGTGCCTGCTTCCCCGACTCACATAAGACATTCAAGAAACACAGATCTCATGATTTAGGATTGCCAAATAAGTACATGTGAAAATACGATGGGCATTTTATGCTGAGGGCAATGGGGGGCCACAGGAGGTTTTGGAGCCAGAGGAGTTTCCTGATGAAAGGGACATGGGACTGGCAAGGGTGATGTATGGGGTGGAAGGCTCCAGGCCCATTTCTATACCCTGAAGAGAGATCTTGTCTTTAGCACTGGGGCACCAAGAGAAGGCCTAAAGCCTAAGCAAGAGGGGAAAAGGGAAGAGAGAAGTTTAGCTTTCAAATCCACAAAAGGGGTGTGCAGAAGAGAGAAAAAAGGGAAAACAAAGGATGGCCAGATGTGGGGAACATTAGATACTGCCAAGAAGCCCCCACAGGCTGGGGCCTGAGATCCACAGGACTTAATCAGGTATCAGTCACAGGAAACAAGTTCTGTCTCCTTCTTACCTGAGGGTTTTGCTCATTCTGAGATCTTTGAAGCTTTTCTCAGGCTTATTAAAGCTTCTTAAACTCCTTCAGGCCATACCCATTTCAACTAAGCACAGTAAACTTTAAGAATACAAATCTGCAAGGTGCAACCATTTTTAAAAAGATGTATGCATTTGGATTGTTTAGTTTGCTGAAGCATCATTAAGTTTTCACTTTCTAAGAAATGATCAGAGACTTGGCTTCTGCAGGGTTAATTACTCCCAGCATCCTGGAGTACCTTGAGGCAAGCTGGCAAAGTGGAGAAAATAGCAAATGGAGAACAACTGAGCTGAGAGTCCAGCTGGCTGCCTCCCCCAACCTAATGCACAAAATGGGTCTGTTGCCTTTGATTTTGTGGCTTTCAAATTGCCAGTTGCACCTTAGGTGGGCAAGCCACAGTGGAGGCTGGGGTGCCTTTAATGGCACTTCCTAGACGGTGGGTCTCTGCTCCTTCATTTTTGAGTTCTGGACACTAACTTGTTTTAGAAAAAGATCCCCACGCTAGCTCCTGGGGCCAGGCTCTGGAACCTGTGCTGTGCAAGTTTTCATGCCTGCCTGGCTGTCAAAGCCCCCAACCCCACTGCTCCCCAGGGCTGGCCGCTCCTGTCCCAGGGTCATCAGACAGCTCTGTTGTCAAGGCAGGGTCGCACACATGGCTCCCTTCCCTTTCCCTTCCTCCAGGCCCTGCCCTGCAGGCACTTCAGCACTGGAGCCTTCCAGTTGTTACTACTCCTGGTCCCTCCCAAGCCCCAGTTCACCAGCTCCAAAGAGCAGTGGAGGCCTCCAAGGTGGGGGCTGTGCACCAGAGCCTGGCCAGTCCTTTCAGGGGGCCCCTCTCCTCCCAGCTCCTGACATCCACTACTCCAACAGGCCCTCCCCCCACCCTCCCTGTCTGTCCTCAGCTTCTCTCCACTTTGGAAAATGAGACCTAGGGTAGGAGGTACTGCCTGGCTTCAAGCTGGGAAAGGAGCTGGAGGGAGGTGGGGACAGTGGCGGAGTTGATTTTTCTTGATCTTGTATCTCGCTTTCCCCACCTAGGGCAGCCTGGAGCACTGCAGAACCTCCTCCCTCTCCCTCCTCTTCCTTCAGCAGCCTGCGCGGAGCATGGGCTCTGGAGATTGCTTTGCCTCTTAGCTCTCAGGATCTTCATCTGTAAGGTGGAAATAGTGTTGGTTAAAATGGCCTCATGGGGTTTGGGGAATTCAAACAGATGGGCAAGTAAAGGATGTAGTACTGGGCCTGGCCCATGGGGAGCAGTCTTGATAGCACCTCTTTGTTATTCTTTTCCTAATCTCTTGCTTTCTCTACAGGAACTCAGGAACTCGAGGGCGCTCAGGGTTCACTAGAGGGAGCAGGCCGTTTTCCTTCTCTTCCATCAGGGTTGAGCCTCCCCTCTGTCCTACCTCTTTTAAGTTCAGGGCCTTCCTCCAGAGCCTGGCCAGCAGCAAAGAGCCCACTTCATCTCAGCCACCAACCCAGTAAAGGAGAACTGAGGGACAGAAGGCTTGCCTGGTTAAGATGGGGAAGGAGCCTGAGAAGAAGACTTTGAACATCTCCTCTCCCCAGGATTGTTTAATTTCCACTTAAATTTCTTCTGGATGCTAAATATTTGCTGAGCATCTTTTTTTGGTTTCTAGGCATTTCACATATGTCAAGTCACATAGTCCTCCCCACACTCCTGAGCGATTGAATATCATCCCCACCATTTTATGAGTTGAAAACCACGTTCCAAGGGCACACGGGCCCCAGGCCTGTATCACTCAAGCTGTCTTCTCTTTGTTCCCCCAGGTGGCCTGAGAGCAATGGCTCCCCATGCCCCCCACTCTGGAGGGGCATTTCTGGATCAGGGTTCAAACCATGTCCTGGTTATGCTCCCTCTTCTGGAAGGCGCAGGCAGTGCAGCTCCTTGGGATATCTCTGACACCCCTCCCTAGAGACTGGGTGCTCCTGCTCGGGTCACTGGGATCTGTTGCTTCTTGGCCCTTTGACTGGCAGGAACCCGCTTCCACCTCATTGCCACCTGCCTGCCAGTGCATAGCTGAAATGTATACACCCAGTAGATGACTGTGTGTCTATGGAGGTTTGGTTGTTATTTTATCTAGAAAGTTGGCATGGGGAGAGGAATCATTCATCTGTACTTGGACCTACAACATTTGGATGAGGTAGAGCAAGGAAGGAACTTATTTTAGGGGCAGGGCAAAGTCCTCTCCTTGACACACCCTTGGCCAAGATTCTCCCACCCCTGGGACTGCAGACCTGCACCCTCAGAGCCATCTGGCCCAGCGGCAGAGGCCCCCCGGGCCCTCCGCAGGCCTCCCCTCATTTCCTCAGGAGGCTGCCTCCAGCCTTCCATTTCCTTCCTCCGCTGTCCCATCCTTGGCCTGTTTCCCCTGCCTGGAGACGGCTGGGCGCAAGGTCCCTCCCGGCCCGCCACAACCACTGGCTGCCTCCCTCTGAGAAAACAAGACCAAGCCAAGCATCCCACCCAGACCGCAATCCCAGGCTTGGTTTGTTCTCGGTCCCAATCAAATGTCATCCAGGAGGTGTGGGATGGGAGCGGGAGGCTGGGTGGGGCAGTGGAGGCCACCCAGGGAAGGGGTGAGCAGGGTGCAGACTGGCGCCCCGGGGCTCCCTCACCCTCTCCTGGCTGCTGAGGGCCCACCTTCCCTAAGATGGCTTTGTCCCCTCCTTCCCCTCCAGGCATGCTCTCCAGCCTCTACATGGGTGTGGGGTTGGAAAATGCTCAGGGCGCCCAGCAGGCGGTGCTGTGGAGAGAGCAGCATTTGTTTGCCACCACAGATGGCTGGTATTTGTCAAGATGCCACTTGAAATCTCCAAGAATCACCGACCTGGCAAATACCACAGTAACATACAATTTTTGCCTAGACCATCTGTTTCATTTCTATGTCCCTAGCTTACTTTGGAGGGCCATTTTTTTTTTCTCACAAAGAATTAAAGCACTGATAACTTTGTGAGGATTGGTATGTTTACGATGAGGCACAGAGAACAAAGTCACGGGCTCTCTGCAGCATTCCCTAGCAGGCAAAGCCTCAAGTATCAGGCCTGCAGTGCCAGATACCCTCTGCGCTTATAGCCTCTTCTGTTCTTTTGGGAGACCGAGGCAAACATTAAGGAAAGGCACAAGAGTATGGTGATTTAGATTGGCTTTTTGAAGCACCAATTTCTGTGCGCAGTTCTAGCTCTTCCTGTTCACTGTGATTCCGAAACACATGCTCTGGACCACGCTGAGGACTCAGGCCTTCCCATCTCACTTCTCAGAGCCTTCCCTGATTATCTCCTGGCTCCCTAGACAATGTCCTCGGACCTGAGGTGTGAGGCAAGGATCCTCTGCACACATTCTCATCACACTGTGTTATGACTGGTGCTGCACACAGGACTTAAAGCCTGCTGCCTCATCCCCCCACTAACATCCCCCTGGCCTGATCTGGGCCTGTAGATCTCCCCGGGGGCTATAAACCACTGCACTCTCAGAGGCCACACCTTGCTTGGGGGAACATGTTTCTGAAAGGGCCTAATATCTGATCACTTCCCACATCTCTCACTTCAAACTGGAGCAAAATAAAAAATACTGGCCAAAGGCAAGCAGGGTGACATCTGATGCCCTAGACAGCAGTGTGGCCTTGGGCAAGGTGACCCTGTTTCTCAGTCTCAGGTTCTGCAGGCCTCTCCTGGCTCCCGGCCTTCTCAAATAGGCAGAAAAAGAGCTAAGCAGCTGCGGGTTCCCATTCCCCTTCTGCTTTTCCTGTGTGACCGAGTTGGTGCCAGGTAGTGTTAAGGCTTTGCAGAGATCACCTGAGAGGTAGGTTCTAATATCAGTTCCCTTACCAATGAGGTAGGTGTCCTTTCCAAAGACATGCTAGTGATTCTGACCCCAGGACAACCTGTCAGGAGCTACTGTCCCCATCTGCCTGACTTCAGAACAGAGATGTTAAAGGATCAGGAGCAGCAGAGCTCACACAACGTAGCAGAGCTGGAAGGGGCCTCACAGATGGGTACTCTGCCAGGTCCCTCAGGCAGGAGGGAGGGTCCCTGCCTGGGCCACTGGTGCCAGGAGAGCAGCAGCACCTGCCTCTGGGTAGTGCAGGAGCAACCCACCTGGAGAACAGAAGGTGGGGACCAGATGAGGAGCAATTCTTGTGGGAAGTAATGGAGACGACTCGGCTCAAGACAGAAAGAGAAAGGAAGCGGGCGGC